CTAAGTAATACTTGATGGTACTGGAATATGTAGTTTAGTTCTTGTCAGATAAGACAGCTATAAAAAAATATATATTTGTCAACTTTTAAAAACATTCATTTTATGAATGTATTTTCCCGTTGATTCTTTTATTGGGATATGAATTATGGAATTAATATATTTTTTAATTCTTTTTTAGAATCGTCCCCAGAGGTGGTATCAAGATAAGTGACGGGAGCCTTTCTGATACTCAAACCTACTCTGAAGTCAAGTCTGATTACGGAATACCCTACGCGCCCTGGCTGAGACATAGGTAACTATTTTACTGTTATACATAGTTGATATTTTATGGTTTTTTTTTGAGTTTTTTTTTTGAGGTAGTTTTGTGAATAAAGACACTCATCTTATTATAACGTGGTTTGTTGTGGTGATTACAAATTTTTACATAGAAAGATAAGATAAGAAGATAAGGGTAAGATCAAGATCTTTATACTGCCCAGTCAGAAAATGGCTTTAATTATTTTTTCTAATAGATTTTGATTTCCTAAGCACCGTATTTCAATTACCAGTTACATATATCGTATTACTATTATAATAAATTAAAATTTATTTAAATGAAATAATGACACACAATAACACTAATTGCCTGGTCTCAAACTAAGGAATTTCCTGTACTATGAGTACCAGAGGAACGGAATTCACTCTGGGGCACTTCCCAGAAAACTCAGACCAGAACCAATTTAGAAAAGTTCATTTCCCAAATTCGTCCTACCGGGAATCGAACTCGCGTCTTCTTCATCCAGTGTCCACCATGCAAACCGTTGGGCCACCGAGGTCGTCCAAAAACTGACAGTGTTTGTAGCATTTCAGTGTGTGTGCAATTGAACACAAAATGCAATGATTGAATTGTAGTTTTTTTTACGATGGTGGTATCCGGTGGACACTGTAAATTCTACCTTATTGGCATGATCATTGGCAATAAATATTAAATGTGTAAAAAATGTTATGCATTTGGCAATCCATCATAGCATATGTCGTCATCAAAGCATCATCCCGTCTCCTCAATCATGTCATGTTATTTATTTATCCATATTTCTACCCTGTGTGCCTTTAATGCGTGATTCACTCAATAATTATTCATAATGTATTAACATAAAATGTGCCACATAACTATCGTATCACTTGCTTACTTGTCCTCTTTTCCAGTTTGGTCAGTTGTAAAGATTATTTACTTTACTTGTTACTCAGTAAATACTGATAAGTTTCATATCAAACAACTAGTTTCTGATTGATTGACATTTGTCTATTAATTATCCACTCAGATAATTTAACACCAATATATTCAGACAGTACCGACGCTCTTCTTATTTAGAATTTTACATTTATTACTTTAATAAGGCTACAGCGTAGAAGTTATAAGAAAAACGAATGCACCCGAAAGCACAGTGCGCGTTTTGTTCGTACAATTTAGTAAAAAATTAATAAAAAAAAAAATTAAAAGTTTCCTTATATTTTCGCAAACAACTTTATCTGTAAATATCGACGACTTGCCATTCCTTACAACTGGCTAAACCCCTCATCACATTTCCCCCATTTCAGCAACACGTACTCGGCGAGCGGCCGGCTGTCCGAAGGCGAAAGCTTGGAGTCCCTCAGCTCGCTCCATTCAGCGCAGCACAACCACTCCTCCCCTAACTCTCACCATCGCAGCTCACTCACTCACAATAAGCACATCATGCACCGAGACGCTCAGGGCTCCCGATTGAACCGGAGCAACAGTATTAGGTGGGTTCGCTAGTCGCCTGTTTTTGGGCAAGACATATGATCGTCTTTTATAGATAACCGATAATGGTTTTTGCCAACACTTATTTAAGTTTCAAATAAATTACGGTTTTTACATTTGGAAGTCTTGTAAAGTACATTTACACTTTACCGTGTTCTTTCATGAACTTTACCATTCTCTTGGAAAGTTTGCTATAAGCTTCATATCGAGTTATTGTATTGAAGTACTCGAACGTCATTTACATTAAACATTCGTGTAGCATAAGAAAGCGTCAATAACAAATATCTCCATTTCATTTACTAATCCCTCGCTACAATAGTTCCAATTTCTTTACGTTCGTCTATCATGTGTTAATTTTATTAAACTCATTCACACTCCTTAACATCGTTACCATCACTTGCTACATACATATGAATCATTGTGAGTATGTATCAAATCATATATCATCGATACACTATCTATGCCAAATGAAGGTAATATTAATTTATTTGCAGTTCCTAAACAAAATGTCCGATTAAATGCAGTAGTTAATTGAGTTTGTTTCAAAGTTTAGCCAAGGTACATTTGCTGTTTTATTCCCGTAATCAAAAACTTTTTATAACATTAATCATTTTGTTTTTAAACTGCAAATTATGTATAAACTTAAGTTGTCAACAAAGAGTAAAAGTATTGAGAATAAAGTTTGTATATTGAATTTTAGCTACCTCAGAGATAGGACGTTCCCAAGGTATGCCACAGCACAAGAGTTTATGTTTTGGCTTGAAGGTGGCACGCTGTTTTTCCAGACATTATTATTACATTTAATACGCATGATTTTGAACATGGCACGGCTTTATTATACACTGATTTTTTCACAAATTACAGGAACATTCGTAACATATGCTGTTAATGTTATTTTGCCAACATCGTTTTCAACAATTTGTCAAACATTGGTGTTAGTTACTATCATTCTCATTACAAAACGTCGTAATAGTCTTTGTTTCGCTTTTTTTTTCAACGTAATACCATTGTGAAGGAAATTCGCATTCTACGCTTATGTCAATGTGCCATGTCGCAACGTGCAACATGTAGTTTTATATTTGAATAATAATATAAAAATGTGGAAGTCAATTCTGGTATGAGTTGTTTTTATATTCACAAAATGTACTAGAGTTACAATTACATTACCACTCCTACAAATAACATTTATTTTAGTCAGTTGATTATCTCCTTAAATGATAAAAACCTTAAGTTACAACCAGGTCAGATCTTTGCAGTAATTTGATACCTTTATCCAGCTCCTCAATTATTTCATACTGCAGTAAATCATAAACATATAATATACTGTCAATATAGAAGACATTGAAAATAATTGAACATCACAATACAGAATTGACTCCACCAATTTGGCAACCACACACTCCCATGTAAGTATGTTTACAGGTCCACCAAGTCTGAGAAATTGTACCCATCTATGCTGCAAAGATCTTCGGAAAGTGACTACGAGCCATACTATTGCTTACCTGTGCAGTACGGCCCTGCTACAGGTCAAGGTAATTTCAACCAGACTGCCACACACCAAGACTTAAAAGTCAAGATTATGTATAAATATTGCCATTAGGTGAACTTAAATAAGTATAAGCTTATGCAGTGGTAATGAAATGTTTTATGTATATAGGAAGAGATACCCATAGTGAATGACGGAAATAAAGGAATTACAATATTGAAACATTATCATCATACACGTGAATACTTACAAAACCAGCCAAAGTGTTAATATAAATTTGAAACGAAGAATGTTTAACAGATAGGATCCAATTTACATATTATAATAACGAGTAAAACGGTTGGTGGCAAAAAATTCGTAGAGGTTACTTATCTCGAAGGGATGCCAATACGGTCGCTAAACGAAAATATCGTGACGGGACGAATAAGTCGTGCACCTGTAAACTACACGCCTGTCCATAACAATTGCAGCGCCACTCAGAGCTCTAAATTGCAAAGATCTGCCGGGCACTGTCACTGCACCCGTCACCTTTAGACATAAGTTGACAAGTCCCATATGCCTGAAATTTTACCAGCTCCCTTACCGTTCTTACACAGTAATGCTAACATTACTGCTTGGCGCCAGAAACAGATGACGGCAGTACTTCCCTGGACAAACTCTTTCATAAGGAGCTCTATTGCTATCAAAAATTTTTTTGTTCTCGTTTAGTGATTTTGTTCGTTCCAACGTGTATTTTAGTTCCACTCAGAAAACCCTTTGCTCCCACGTACAGATCTGTTTAAAAATACACAGGTGACGTTTCCGAATGGTAGTCAATATCACTGTTTCATAGGTATGAACTATGGAGTCTCGGAGCCCCCGTCGCCGTCTCCTCGATCTGCACTCAGCCCGACGCACCAGCCTGCCAACGTCATGCACACACCTCGGCATTCGCACCACTATCCTAAGAAGAACGATGACGGTACGTGTAGTAAACTGCATGTCAAGTGATTATACTTGGAAACAGGGTTTGAAATAATGAACATGTTTATACTCCTTGCTAATTATCATGATAATTATCCGGTGTATATGTGATAATTATTCATGATGTATCATAGTTTTGCCTAAAAATTACTAACATTGAGAAAACTAAATAAGTAGGAATAAAAATATTTGGAAAAACGATTTGGTTTGTGACTTTTTTGAGTTTGATCATCAATAATTATTATTATCATTGATAATTATCACTTCGAACCCTGCTTGGAAATATCTTTAAAAATGCTTTTTCCTCTGTACTGTGCGGGATGGTGAACTTTTATGTCTTTTGGATACAGTGCATGGATCGACAGCTTCTCTTGTATCAACGGCGTCGTCGCTGGCTGCGGGAGCGGGCAACGACGAGAGACATGCCCATGAGGTATGGGTATGTTGCCAGTCCACATTTTCAGTTTTAATCAAATAGGTACATTCAATGGTATAACACACGCGCTACTAAAATAACATATTCATAATTATATCTTTATTCCTTACCACATGGTTTCACAAAGATGTTATAAAAACATAATACAGTAGTCACATATGTGACATCCTGCAAGGGCGCCGTAAAATCAGGAGAGCACTACAAATTATTACTTACAAACATAAATATCACTACAAATTACTAATAATTTGCCGAAGCTTTAACATTAAGCTATGTTCATAAAATTTTCCTTAAGTATTGTCTGGGTGAGAATTAAAGGCCTGAGTGTAATTTATGTAATCATGAAACTTAGCTACCGCATGTGCGTTAAGATTTTTATTTAGATCTTAATCATATGTCTATAAGGTTTAAATTAAAATCTTAATGCTAACGCGGCAGTTAAGTTTACGTATTTGAAAACTTACATTAAGGCCCCAGTTTCCAGTTTACTTTTTTACTAAAATGTGGCACACGAAGCGCTGTTTGTTCTTGTGTTTGATTACATTTACTTTGACTTTTCTGTTAACTATAACATTAAGAAAAACTCAGATAGTGTATATTATACAGGTTCGGAAGCTACGACGAGAACTCGCTGACGCCAAAGAAAAGGTCCACACACTCACCACACAGCTCACGACGAACGTAAGTACTATTTATTCCATTCACTCAATACGACGTCATTACCACGTCTAAAGGTAGACAAAGTTTAATTAGCTTTGTCATTAGAAACTAAAGCAAGTCATTACCAGCCCTTTGAAAAAGGTCTCAAAAGGTATTACAAATATAAGTGACATACATACTTATACAAAAAGCTTGACAAAGAGAGCGATAAAAACTAATGAAACGTGATAATTTCAATTTGTCAATTGTCATTATCACTTAACTTAGCTGTCATAGCTGAATAACTGGCACCCACATAGATGTAATACGATATGGTTACCACCTTGTAAAACTATCTCATTATGAACTGCCCACGGGTGCTCAATGTTTTTTGTCTGGAGACAATGTAACAGTATAGGTACTTTCAAATTTTGTGGTTGCTTCAAAGATTACACTCTGTTCGCGGTTGACAGCAGTAGTTGACATATTGACATAAAGCTTCTAAACTTTCACTTTTGGCATTTGATCCAGCTCGAAGGATCAGCTATTTATCTAAAAAAATTAGTAATAAATAATAGACTATATCACATTCATTTCATATCACACGTTGCTCTACTCCCAAAGTAAGTAACTAAAGTACGTGTTATGGAAATCGGAAACAACCATGGGGTACCACAAACACGTAAACCCGAGATAATATAGAACAGTTAGTTTCTTCTACATTGACTAGACTGGGGATGGTACCTGGGACCTCAAAGATGTCGACACCATGTAAACCGATATGCAAGCCACTCAATCACGGAATCCGTGAAACTTAAATAGTGTAAATAACATTTAATTTAATATGCCAAATAACCACACCAATTTCTTGACATGTTTACTTATAAGTACTGTAAGCGTAAGTTGTACGAAATAAACAAATAAATTCCCTGGTCTCAAACTAGGGCATTATGAGTACCGGAGCAACGGAGATCGCTCCTTCAGCTCCTCCTCGCATCAGGCAAGAACCGAGTTAGAAAAGTTCTTTCCCAAATTGGTTCTACCAGGAATCGAAATCAAGACTCATCCAGCGCCCGCATTGCAAACCGTTGGGCCAGCAAAATCGCCAAAACAAAATTAAATGCGAAATTATTTACATTTTCAAAACATAAATAATCAAACCAATCAATTCGTCTAGTTTAATGAATATTCACTAATCATACGGATGTTATTTTCAGACTAGATGAATTATTATATTTTTTTTATAATCTGTCAGATATAATTACTATTGTCCAGTGTTATAATTACAAATAAAGACGTCTTTATCACGAAACGACACCACGAATTAAATTATAATGGTACCTACCTAATCCTTAACAAGTAAATTTACTAAGATTACATTGTACTTTTTATATTTGGGGTTTTCAATCACAAACTTTAAAACCTTAATGATGCTCCAAGCCAGTACAAATTTTGTTTCATTTTTAGATACTTGTACATCTTGGTATAGACTACTAAAATGTAGACTTTGTACTCAAAATGGCAACCAATGTTGTATTGAGTTTTTGGGTTTTTGCGATTGTTACTCATAAAAAATGAAACAATATTTTTTTATGGAATGTAAATTGCGATATTCGTTTTTGTTTTTTTTTTCAAACAAACCAACGCTTCAGGCCCTTTACAGGTCCGATAATTACGGCAGTCAGCGGTGATACGCGGGAACCTTAAAATAAAAAAAGCATAATCTGAATCAGCATTAATATCGTTGGTCCAATAGTATGAGAGCAGGTTGTCCGCCCTTTCTCGAAAGTGGGAAGGACATCAAGTGTAATGCAAGAAAGCCGAGATGAAATGTCGAGAGTAAGGGTCAGTAAATAATAGTAATGGGCAGGTCGCACGGCCGTGAGACTGCGGTTGCCAGTTTCGCACCCATATCTGGCATTAGGAATCTGTGCCAAACGCCAACTGCTACTGCATTATCGAAGTCTAAGCACGAAGTCCAAGTTAAACGCGCTGTAACGAGCTACGCACTTTGCGGAAACTAAATGAGACAATCGAGGATAAAGATTTCCAATCTCTCACAGTTACCTACTCATCATTGAGGTCCCATGTTTGAAACCCGGTAGGAATACTTTGGGAAATAAACCTTTCCAAATTGGTTGTAGTCAGAGTGTTGTGCCCCAGAATTCCGTTGCTTTGGTACTCATGATACAGAGAATTCCCTCCATTCTGGGAAGTTTGAGGCAAGGTAGTGTGGATGTCTGTCACATAATATACATATATGTATATGTCGTTGCCTATAGACAATAACGTCGTATTGCAGAATACTACGATTTTGAAATAAAGATACAACGACGTATGTAACAAGGGTGCTTTATTTACGATAAAATTTCGCTTGTTCTGCTCATCGCTGCATGCTTACTTCAAAGTCGTAGTAGAATATTACTACTGAAGTAGGTACTGTGTTATTGTATAACAGCAGCGATTTGTCGCCAGCACCCTTATTCAGAACTCTTCGATATTTTAACCGAATCGATCGATTGGATGTCGTTCTCGCTTCGAAGAGCGCTTTTCAAGCTATTCAGAACATTCGAGTTAAACGTTCGATTCAGATTCGGATACGATATCGTTATCCAACAGCGTTTACGGAGTTAGTCGGTGAAATAGATTATAAGAAAAACGAAAATCCTTTTAGATACATTTTTAAGGGTCGTATTCCAGAACTGTACTCAATGCTCAAGTCAGGATTTGAGCAGACTTGAGTATGATTTCAAGCACTGGAAATACGACCCTAATGGCAAGGACTTGAGTATGATTTCTAGTGCTTTGAATCATACCTATATCCTGACTTGAGCATTGAGTAGAGTTCTAGAATACGACCCTAAGACTTTAATGGCCCAAAAAATTAACAAATCTTGAATTAAAATATTAATGAAGTTGAACAAAATCCAGACTTTATTTAAAATAATAAGAGATTTCCATATTACATTCTTGTTTTGTAAACAATAGGACGGTCGGAGACTTTCATTCGATAACTGTATTCTGAATAACGTTTGTAGCCTTTGCCGGTCGAGAAGTTCGAGTAATCGTACGAGTGTGATGTCATTTCGGGTCGGTTTGGAATACGACAGTTTGACATTCGATTCGGATGTTGTAAATAAAAATTAGAAGAAACCATACTGTATCAAATCCAATCGGTCGACAACTGAGTTATCGTAAAGTTCTGAATCGACCCCGTGGTCAGTTATAAAACTGTATGTTTACTCTACAATCTGTATGTTTACGCTGTATTTCAAAATTGTCTACTGCCTCGTCCCAACAAATTAGATCTGCTCTAATTAAGACTTAAAAACGTTAAACAAACGCAATGTGTTATACCCTATTGTTCTAACAAATGCGGTCGTCATTACGTCACAGAATTTGCGTCCACGTCTTCTATTCGTTTGAAAATACAAAAATTGGTCAATGAATGCATCATCTATAGAGTAACCTGCTTTATTCTATGACATGGTCTGCTGTAGGAACGTAGTCTGACAAAGCGCCAATAAATGCGGACCAATATGGCGATAAGTACTTGTAAACACTTGGGATTTACCGTTTAACCTTATTGCTGTTTGTTTTTACTGCTACTAAACACGCCACTGATATACATTTTATTGGCGATTTTGCCAAAGTTGTTTTTACAGTTCAAACAAACTATTTCTGCCGCCAAACAGCAATATGAGCATTACTACGTTCCGGTTTTGAATGGCAACGGTGCTGGTAAAATTATAAAAGCATGGGACTGATTAACTGATGTCTCAGGGTGACGGGCGCAGTGGCAGTGCCCCTCAGATCTTTAAAATTCTGAGTGGCACTGCAACTGTTATAGACAGGCGTGGCGCTTATCTCCACTTATTCGCCCCTCACTTGGTATTATAAAAAAAAAATCAAAATTCTATTATAATGTTCTCAACATTTATCTTGTTGCGTGCCACTAATATACTGGACGCAATTCTTGATGGCAGTTTGGAAAAATAATGAAATCGCAACAAGACACAAAACGACAAATGAACTAAATTCCAATTAAACCTCAAACATTACAGAGTTATTCTCCTTTTGTAACTTCAATTTGAGAAACAAAGGATTTCTTTTTTATGAACTCGTGATGGAATCGTGCAGCACGATAGATTGCAAAAGAAAGGGCAGAGACAGATTAATGAATATACCTTCGTTAAAGTTTGGAAAAGTAACGGTTTCCAGCCACATTAAAGTCAGTCCATCTGCCCATTTCATTCTCAATACAAAGAAGAAAAAGTAGTCTTCAATGAGCCTCAGTCAGGTGGTTGTTTTTATTCTCTAATTCACTGTTCGGAAAGACAGTCTCGCCATAAATAATTCAACATGTGCGCACGAACATCTATCGTTGTTCTTGCTTCGCCATTGTGTAGTTTTGGATCGTATTCAACCACATTCATTTCAAAGCTATCCATATATCACTTTATAGTTAAAATTAAAGTCAGCTTCCGGTGGAAAGTGGTTAGTTACAGCGAACTATAATTTCATCATTAAGATTGCTATTTCCTTTCTAATTTATCTACCCATACCTTCTTAGGCCTAAAGGCTTTGGAAGTTATTACGGTTGGTATTAATTGCAGTAACTTACCTTCTAGTTGTATCGGTTTCTGCAAGTTTTTATTAGTGCCTGTCGTGCATTTGCAGATTATAATGGGACATTACGAGACATGGTTACAAATAAGATGTCAATTGATTTCATTCAAGTTCTTGCTGTTCTGTAGATGTTAGTTGCAAGTTATTTTTAACCGACTTCAAAAATGGAGGAGGTTTTCAATTCGATTGTATATTTTTGTGTGTTACGAAATTAACGCGACATTTGTAAACTGTTTTCGAAGATTCTTTTTTTTTGGAAAGGGGATACCTCATTGAAATTCGAAGAAGGTATTCCACTTGTAAGGGTGGCAAATTAGGGGATGAATCCGGTTTATTGGATTTCACCCACTTTATAAATAAAAAATCGACTTCTAAAGTTTTTTTTTTTAATTCAAATATACACTTATATTTGC